TAGCCCATAAGCAGCCTTAAATCGCAACCAATTACATTCCTATAACAGTTTAATCCCTTGTAGTTTAACCACTTTTCAAAGATACTAATAGTTGTGACGATGGAACCAATGCCCAGGAATCAGAGGACCATAACACCCATGTTAACTCCAATGACTGGACGGCCTCCCACAAGGACAGATAAATGTAATCTTCAGATGAGCCCACTAACCCATTTTATGATGCTTGGCTCTCTGCATCAGAACAATCTAGTTTCCTGACGGCTGACAGTCAGGGCTCTCTCCCACTACTTGGCTGTATGAGACAGTTTCAAAGGTGGCGAATGCATGGTGATTCACAATGTTTAGGTTTACCCTAAAGAACCTGGTCACTGTAAATGCCAAGGTTTATTGCAGTGATGGCAGATTGGTTTACTGTTTACCGTTTTGCAAAGTGTGTAACTGCATTGCTTAAACTAGACAGAGAGAGTCACCTTCGTGCCGATCGCATTGGAACAACTGTGGTTATGTGGCTACATTTGACAGTGTGCAGCTATAATTGTCCATCAATTTTTACAGGTGAATTTCTGCTATTTAAATTGTAAATACGAACTTCCACTTTTGATTGATGGTCTTTCATTAATAAATGTTGTTGTGGTTGCTTGCGATAGGCATGTTTTCTTGTTCCACCGATTGTTCAACAGTCATCTGGTCAATTGACATCCTGACAATAAATGTAGGACATTTACGTTCCTTAGGTACATATACACAATTGACAGAGGTATTTTCACTATGCAACCAATTAGTAGCTGCAGAGGTTGCAGCAGAAGACCCTGGCCTTGGGTCAGGTACCTGACTTTGAGCGTGTACCTGAGCTTGTAACTTCATTAGAGGCCTTCAGGTGCTTGCTTGCTCCAAAATAGTTTTCAGTTTTTCCATAATATCCAAAAGACCAGTACGTGAAGTAGATCTTTATGTAAAGATATTTACTTTTTGTAAAAACATCTAGAACCATAATGTCATTAAAACAAGGTAAACTGAAAAAGGCTGTGTTTGTCAACAATACATGCTCTTTTATTCTTGACCCTTTTTTATCAATAACTACCAGGCTTTCTTCCTGTCTTGCTCCTCTGGACTGCCAGGTGGCCATCATTAATTGGGGGGGGGGGGGAGTAATCAGGAATCTGCGGTGTTTTATGTCTGGTTAGTGGGATCTGTCCCCCAGAGGGCACCATGGTACCATTACCTGTGTTTCACACACCTGGAAATCGTCAGTGATTACCTGCAGCAGTATATCAGGAGCTGGAGGCCAGTCCCTTGTCACTTGAGTGTTGAACCTTGTGGTAACCTAAGCTCCATGCATCTCTTGTGATTTTAGGGTTCCTTGTGAAGGAATTTGATCTTTTTTAATTCTTCTGGACAAAACCTTCTCAATTGGAATCTAGCTGGGCACTATTTTAAGAGCCATCATCTGGGATTATGTGACCTTTTAAATTTTGTTGATCATGGTTGGCAGCACTCGTCTGCCTGAGATCAACTTTCCATGTACAATCTGATGTAGGCGCTTTGCCGGTCTGCTGCAGTAAACACACCAGTCAATCAATGTATCCATCCTAATCTATGGTCACAATCTTTGGATCGGGAAAAAAAAAGAGATCGAGAAGTGGCTAAAATGGTTTCCTTCGTAGGGTGTCTGGGCTCTCCCTTAGAGATAGGGTGAGAAGCTCAATAGTCCGGAAGGGGCTCAGAGTAGAGCCGCTGCTTCTTTGTCGAGAAGCCAGTCGAGTTGACTCTGGTGTGACAGAACACAGGACATTATATGACGAAACATAACCATTAAAGTTTGCCCCAGCCCCCCCTTAGATTTTCCAACTGGCTCATCCTGTGGTGGGAAAAACCTTGAGGTGAAAGGTCAATGTCCACTTCCTGAAGTCATTATACTATACAGGGTTTGGACAATAAAACTGAGACGCCTCTCATTTTAGTGTGGGGGGTTTCATCGCTAAATTGGAACAGCCTGGTGGCCAATCTTCACTAATTGCACATTGAACCAATAGGAACAGACTGTGAAGGTCCAATTAGCAGGGTAAGAGCACAGTTTTGCTCAAAATATTGCAATGCACACAACATTATGGGTGACATACCAGAGTTCAAAAGAGGACCAATTGTTGGTGCACGTCTTGCTGGCGCATCTGTGACCAAGACAGCAAGTCTTTGTGATGTATCAAGAGCCACGGTCTCCAGGGTAATGTCAGCATACCACCAAGAAGGACGGACCACATCCAACAGGATTAACTGTGGACGCAAGAGTAAACTGTCTAAAAGGGATGTTGGGGTGCTAACCCGGATTGTATCCAAAAAACATAAAACCACAGCAGCCCAAATCACGGCAGAATTAAATGTGCTCCTCAACTCTCCTGTTTCCACCAAAACTGTCCCTCAGGAGCTCCACAGGGTCAATGTATACGGCCGGGCTGCTATAGCCAGACCTTTGGTCACTCGTGCCAATGCCAAACGTCGGTTTCAATGTTGCAAGGAGCGCAAAGCTTGGGATGTGCACAATGTGAAACATGTATTGTTCTCTGATGAGTCCGCGTTTACTGTTTTCCCCACATCCGGGAGAGTTACGATGTGGAGAAACCCCCAAAAAGCGTACCACCCAGACTGTTGCATGCCCAGAGTGAAGCATGGGGGTGGATCAGTGATGGTTTGGCCCCATACTTGTGCTAGATGGGCGAGGACCAAGGACTACCGAACCATTCTGGAGGACCATGTGCATCCAATGATTCAAACATTGTCTCCTGAAGGAGGTGCCGTGTATCAGGATGACAATGCACCAATAAACACAGTGAGACTGGTGAAAGATTGGTTTGATGAACATGAAAGTGAAGTTAAACATCTCCCATGGCCTGCACAGTCAACAGATCTAAATATTATTGAGCCACTTTGGGGTGTTTTGGAGGAGCGAGTCAGGAAACATTTTCCTCCACCAGCATCACGTCGTGACCTGGCCACTATCCTGCAAGAAAAATTGCTTAAAATCCCTCTGACCACTGTGCAGGACTTGTATATATCATTCCCAAGACGAATTGATGCTGTATTGGCCGCAAAAGGAGGCCCTGGTCTAAAACCAGGTGTTTCAGTTTCATTGTTCAATCCCTGTACCTCAACATATGCAGCATATGGTCCATATGGTCCATAACAAATATGTGCACAGCACTGAAAAGAGGTTATGGTTTAGTTCGCATTACTTATTCTTGTGGGGAGAAACCCTCATGGAAACCAGCTCAGAAGGAGCATAAACTGGACCTGGGTATAATTGCAGCCACATGAATTAAATACTTAGGTTTACCCATACTGCACTCAAATCAAACTACCAGTAAGCATATACAGGGTGAGAAGACAAACTGCTTAGCCTATTAGTACTTCACTTCCGGTCAACAGTAACAAACTGAGCGTACCAATCACTCTCTTAAAACGTTGGTAACTTTCTTGGGACAGGCTTTTGCCAACGAGTTTTGCACAACTAGTGTAGGTGAGGCACCACAAAGTGACGTCATCTCTCATGTTTTACCAGTAATACCTGGTTTTCAGGCGTGCTGAAGTTCTCTCTGCTCCAAAATGGCCGCCCACTGGGCCGCCATACATCTGCTCCACCACAGGGTCGCGCAATGAACGAGGCAGTAAGATATGTGATTACTGTACCCTGCCTTCGTTGCTGTAGAACTTCTTCATCAGGATTGCTTTTTTCATATAGAGTCTTTTGCACTGTGCCCAGTAGGATTTGGTAGGGGGACTGCAAGCTGCTATGTTAGCCCAATGCAGCCTAATGCTCCCTTTTTCCATCCACGTTAACATTGGTGCTATATCAGGATCTGTCTTTTGGGCTGAACTGAGCTGCTCCAAGGTCCAGCCACTGGCCCGCCTTTGTGGCCCGCCTCACTCACACAGTGGATGCTTGGGTGAGCCTCAGTAGCACAGCAGCCACTGACTCTGGAGTCTACCACCCCCACTATCAGTGAGCCCTGTTGGACCACTCTGTCACCACTAGCGGTTGCCCCTCAGAACCAGTGGCAACCGCTCCTTCTGTGTTGTCGGTTAGGCTGTACTGTACCCCTTTATGCTGACGGGGGCTGCTAATAGAGTGATCTGGAACTGTGCAAGGGCAAGAGGTCCGGCAGGGTTTTCTGGAGAGAGCATCCACATTCTGGTGGTTTCTCCCAGGCCGATGAATGACGTGGAAATCCTATTCCGCTAGCTTTTCCAACCAGTGTGCCAGCTGGCCCTCCAGCTCCCTTAACCTTGTCAACCATGTCAGGCTGCTGTGGTCAGTGCGGGTGGTGAATGGTTGGCCGAGCAGCTACTGCCTGAAGTCAGACGTAAACTTCACAACTGCCAGTGGTTCCCATCTGGTAGTGCAGTAATTCTGTTCCGTAGCTGACAGCCTCCTGCTCCCATAAGCTAGAATTCTCTCCTCACCCCCTTGAATTTGGGAGAGGACAGCCCCTATTGCCCAGTCGCTGGCATCACCTTCGTCAAGGGGGTAGGCAAGAACAGTGGCAGAGGTCAGCCGCCGTTAGAGCTCCTAGAACAACTATATCGTCGAGGTAGACAAGGCACATTTCCCATTGTAGTCCGACTAAGACTCGGTCCATAAGCCTCTAGAACGTGGCGGGCACATTACACAGCACGAAGGGCATCACGTTCCACTCGAAGAGGCCCTTTCTTGTGCAGAATACAACGGCTTTGCGGGCTCTGGGCGTCATCTCCACCTGCCAGTACCCCAACGTCAGATCCAGGGTGCTGAAGTACCTGGCCTTGGATAGCGTGTCCAGGGTGTCTTGTATGCGAGGCAGGGGGTAAGCGTCTTTGATCGTCCGTTCGTTCAGGGGCCTGTAGTCCACGAAGAGTCTGTGGGTTTGCTGTTTCTTTTTCACCATCACAATCGGTGCGGCCCAGCTGCTGTTGCTGGGTTGAGCTAGGTCGGTCTCCAGGGTCTGCTGCACCTGCTGATCTGCCACCACCTGCTGATCCCTAGCCATCCTGTGTGGCGGCTGCTTCGGCCAAGGTCAGTGGGGCTGACAGAGAAGATGTCTCTATAGGACCACAGCAGGGTTGCCAGCTTATGGCGGTCAACCTGTGACAGGCTGGAGCAGCTCTCGGCATACAGAGCCTGCAGGTGAGGGGGTACAGAGATAGAAGGGGTTCAAACTTTGGGGCCTCCAACACTTGGGCAGATTGGAGGACTCCTGCCTCAGCTCCTCTCCTTAAGGTGACATGTGCTGCATCAAGATTGAAGACCCTGATTGGGATGCTGGCAGGTGGTTGTGGCTGCACCAAAACACGGACCCTAGGACATGGTACTTTTCAACAAAACTTTTGCTGGGGTTTAACATCAAGTCTCTCTTAGCAGTATGGCAAATGCGGGAGGCGCCAGGGACAACATGGGACAACCATGTTGGAGCCGGGCTCCAACATGGTTGTACGTGCCACCCTGAGGAGGTGCGCCTCAGCCTGACGGCTGGGGTCAAAGCGGGAAACCTTATCGTCGAAAAGGGTTATCTCCTGGCATCCATAGTCCAGCCTGCGCCTGCGCCTGTTGCAGGAAAGGGTGGCTCAAGATAACCTCAGTGCTCTCTGTTCTGTCAGCCATGATAAAGTTCACCTGAGTGGTTCTGCTCCAAACGTGCACAGGCAGGGTGACTTCTCCAAGGACAGCCAGGCCGTCCAGGCCCAATGCCCTGCAGGACCTGTACAATAGATGGCTGAATTGGGGGCTTAGAGTCTGCGGGATGGAGTTGAAATGGTGGTTAACAGGTTCAGACCTGTTACAAGCTCCCCATCCTCCCCCTTTAGCCCGAAACTTTCCTTTCACACCTCAGATGTTTGATCCTTTTTTTTGCTTCTTCTGATGTGTTTTCAGCCTCTGTACCGCAGGAAGCACTGTGAGGCTCATGTTCTTTGATTTCTCCAGTGCATTTAACACAATTCAGCCTGATCTGCTTCGTATGAAACGCCAGAAGACACAGGTGGCCGCCTGGAGGATCAAAGATGCCAGTGCCCTGCTCAGCTGCGGCTGTTTCAGCTCCCAGCAACGGAGAGTTTTTTGTTCTTAACCTAGATCAGCGGTTACCAGTGCAGTGTAACTGTGGCACAACAGTTTATGATCGGCAGAACTTGATTAGGTTGCACAACTCTTGACATTTGGAGCCTGCAAATCCAGAGACGTGGGACGCCCTACACAGTTTCGGTCTACTAGGCCAGCCACAATCAGCCACAATAATCCCTGTGACCAAGAAACCAGCCATCACATGCATTAATGACTTTGACATCATGAAAATGACAATGCCATCATGAATTGATTCAAGAGGGTGGTTAGGGAACACATCATATCCATACTGCCCGTTGCAGTTTGCTTACCAGCCCAACCGTGTAATCTCCACTGCTTTCCACCTAAACCTGGAGCACCTGGAGAAGAAGAAACACACTAGTTCGGATGCTGTGTCTGGACATCAGCTCAGCAGTCAACACAATCATCCCCCAGAACCTGGTATGCAAACTGGGGGCCCTGGGCCTCAACACACCTCTGAGTAACTGGCTGCTGGACTTTTTTACCAACACAACTCAGTCTGTCCAACAGACAACACTTCCAGTGTCATGACCTGTCGGCTTACCCCGGGACTGCCATACCAGGTACAACAGAAACCACATCCTGACCCCATTCACGATAACAATGAGCTGTCCAACAGGGAGTAGGTGTGACATCTGGTGAACTTGTGTCCGGCACCCAACCTGGTCCTGAACTTGGACAAGACAAAAGAGATCATCGTAGACTTCAGATGATACAGACCCAGGCACACACCCTATCTCATCAATGACACAGCCGTGGAAGACGTGAGCAGCACCAAGTTCCTTGGGTGCACATCTCTGACATAGTCAGCTGGTCACTCCACACCACCTCCCTGGGGAAGAATAGCAGAGAAGATCATCGGAACCCCACTCCCCTGCATCCACGACACGGCAAAATGTCGCTGCTTATCCAGAGCTCACTGTATCCTATCTGACCCCCCACACCACGCACTATTGACTGTTTCCCTGCCTGGTGTCTGGCAGGATATTCTGCAGCATTCAGTGCAGAATGTCCAGGTTGAGAAACAGCTACTTCCCCCTGGCCATCAGACTACTCAACATTGGCTATGGATTCCAGATTTAATTGCACTGAGACAGCATTGGTGAAAGTTACCAATGAGCTCTTGCTATTTGATAGCATATTGGTGTCTGTGCTTTACCTGTTGAATCTCAGTGCCAAATTTTATACGATCTATCACAGAATTCTATGTGACGAGAACATATTGGGATTAAAGGAACTGCGTTAATCTTGTTTAAGTAAAATTTCTCTGAAACATTCCAATTTGATTATGTAAATATCTATTCTTCCCCCTACATCAGAGTAAGTCTTTGTATATGCTTCCATAGGTAATATTATTAACAGCATTCCATGAATTTCCAACGTTATGCTAAAGACACTCAGTTACACCTATCTGAGAAATCAAGTGAAACTCGGATGGTTGAATTTAAAGAGCTAGATGTTGTCTTTTGACCTAAACATGTCAGGGAAGAACTGTCCAACTATGTAGTTGGACAGTAGATTGGATTTCTTGTTTGTGTTATGCTAGTTCATGCATCTCATGACCATCGTAAACATTTAGCCCCGAGGTTAAAAATCAACAGTTCAAATACATACTTCATTATTTAAATTCTGAACTAAAATTAGCTTTTTTTAGTTATTTTTCCCTGGGAGGGGCCAAAGGGGTCGGGTGCGCTTGGGCCTGGGTGGCGGCCGGAATCGGGGACCTTGGCGGACTGATCCCCGGCTGCAGAAGCTGGCTCTAGGGACGTGGAACGTCACCTCTCTGGCGGGGAAGGAGCCTAAGCTGGTGTGCGAGGCGGAGAGATTCCGGCTGGACATAGTCGGTCTCGCCTCGACACACAGCTCTGGCTCTGGAACCAGCCTTCTCGAGAGGGGTTGGACGCTCTGCTACTCTGGAGTTGCCCCCGGTGAGAGGCGCCGAGCAGGAGTGGGCATACTTATTGCCCCCCATCTCGGTGCCTGTACGTTGGGGTTTACCCCAGTGAATGAGAGGGTAGCATCCCTTCGCCTTCGGGTGGGGGGACGTTTGTGCATATGCGCCTAGCAGCAGTTCAGAGTACCCACCCTTTTTGGAGTCCTTAGAGGGGGTACTGGAGGGTGCCCCCCCTGGGGACTCCCTCGTTTTGCTGGGGGACTTCAACACTCACGTGGGCAACGACAGTGAGACCTGGAGGGGCGTGGTTGGGAGGAATGGCCCCCCCAGCTTGAACCCGAGTGGTGTTCTGTTTTTGGACTTCTGTGCTCGGCATGGATTGTCCATAACGAACACCATGTTCCAACATAAGAGTGTCCATATGTGCACTTGGCACCAGGACACTCTAGGCCGCAGCTCAATGATCGACTTTGTTGTCGTTTCAGCTGATCTGCGGCCGCATGTTTTGGACACTCGGGTCAAAAGGGGGGCGGAGCTTTCCACTGACCACTACCTGGTGGTGAGTTGGCTCCGATGGTGGGGGAGGATGCCGGTGAGACCCGGGAGGCCCAAACGTGTTGTGAGGGTCTGCTGGAAGCGCCTGGCGGTGTCCCCTGTTAGGCGGAGCTTTAACTCCCACCTCCGGGAGAGCTTCAAGCACGTTCCGGGGGAGGCGGGGGACATTGAGTCCGAGTGGGCCATGTTCCGCGCTTCCATCAATGACGCGGCCTCCCGGAGCTGCGGTCGCAGGGCTGTCGGTGCCTGTCGTGGCGGCAACCCTCGAACCCGCTGGTGGACACTGGCGGTGAGGGATGCCGTCAGGCCTGTGGGACTCCGGAGGCAGCCGATGGGTATCGGCAGTCCAAGCGACGTGCGGCTCGGGTGGTCGCCGAGGCAAAAACTCGGGCGTGGGAGGAGTTTGGGGAGGCCATGGAAAAAGACTTCCGTACGGCCTCTACGCGATTCTGGTCCACCATCCGGCGTCTCAGGGGGGGGAAGCAGTGCCCCACCAACACTGTTTACAGTGGGGGTGGTGTGCTGTTGACCTCAACTCGTGACATTGTGGATCGGTGGGCGGAGTACTTCGAGGACCTCCTCAATCCCACTGGCGCGTCCTCCATTGGAGGGGCAGAGCCTGGGGATCCGGAGCTGGATTCTCTAATCTCCGGGGCTGAAGTCACCGAGCTAGTCAAAAAGCTCCGCGGTGGCAAGGCCCCGGGGGTGGATGAGATTCAGCCGGAGTTCCTCAAGGCTTTGGATGTTGTGGGGCTGCGTTTGCTAACGCGACTCTGCAACATCGCGTGGACATCAGGGGCAGTTCCGCTGGATTGGCAGACTGGGGTGGTGGTCACCCTATTTAAAAAGGGGGACCGAAGGGTGTGTTCCAACTACAGGGGGATCACACTCTTAAGCCTCCCTGGGAAGGTCTATTCAGCGGTTCTGGAGAGGAGGGTCCGTCTGATAGTCAAGCCTCGGATCGAGGAGGAACAGGGTGGTTTTCGTCCTGGCCGTGGAACGCTGGACCAGCTCCATACCCTCAGCGGGGTCCTAGAGGGTGCGCTCAACCAGTCCACATGTGTTTTGTGGACTTGGAGAAGGCGTTCGACCGTGTCCCTTGGGGTATCCTGTGGGGGGTGCTCCGGGAGTATGGGGTACCTGGCCCTTTGTTACGGGCTGTTCGGTCCCTGTACGACCGGAGTCAGAGTTTGGTTCGCATTGCTGGTAGTAAGTCGGACTCGTTTCTGGTGGGAGTTGGACTCCGCCAAGGCTGCCCTATGTCTCCGGTCCTGTTCATAACTTTTATGGACAGGATTTCTAGGCGCAGCCGAGGTGTTGAGGGTGTCAGTCTTGGTGGCCTTAGGATCGCATCTCTGCTTTTTGCAGATGATGTGGTCCTGTTGGCTTCATCAAGTCGGGACCTACAGCTCTCACTGGAGCGGTTCGCAGCCGAGTGCGAAGCGGCTGGGATGAGGATCAGTGCCTCCAAGTCCGAGACCATGGTCTCTCACTGGAAAAGGGTAGAGTGCCTTCTCCGGGTCGGAGCGGACGTCCTTCCCCAAGTGGAGGAGTTCAAGTACCTCGGGGTCTTGTTCGCGAATGGGGGCAGGGAGCGTGAGATCGATAGGCGGATCGGTGCGGCGTCTGCAGTAATGCGGGCGCTGTACCGGTCTGCCGTGATGAAGAGAGAGCTGAGCCTAAAGGCGAAGCTCTCAATTTATCGGTCGATCTACGTTCCCACCCTCGTCTATGGCCACGAACTTTGGGTAGTGACCGAAAGAACGAGATCGCGGATACAAGCGGCCGAAATGAGTTTCCTCCGCAGGGTGGCTGGGCTCTCCCTTAGAGATAGGGTGAGAAGCTCGGCCATCCGGGAGGGGCTCAGAGTAGAGCCGCTACTCCTCCACGTGGAGAGGAGCCAGTTGAGGTGGCTCGGGCATCTGTTCAGGATCAGGATCAGAATCAGAATCAGAATCAGGTTTATTGCCAAGTAGGTTTTCAGACTTACAAGGAATTTGCCTTGGTGTTTAGTGCA